TTTTTTGGTATCTGGGATTGAATTTAGGACCTTGTGCTTGTGAGGCAGGCAGTGGCATCACTGAGCTAAATCCCCAGTCCTGGTAGATAATTTCTGGTGAATATATTCCCCCTAGGTTAGTATCATTATGTAGAAATACCATGAATTCTTAGATCAGATACAGGCATGTTCATTAAGTATCTCAACACAGTCAACTCAGGTAATCCTTTGGTTAGGAGCTGTTTTGGACTGTGCACACCTCTGATTTTCCCTCAATGGAATGGGTAATTGAGAACTGACTGAATAAATAACAAAAAACATTAAAAATTAACTTTATTCTTAACATCCACTAGAATAATGGACTATGATAATAGGTTAACAAAAAACAATTACTGAACACTATAGTACATCTGGAACTAGTTCTATCTGAAATATATTTGATATTCTACTCAATAATAAGAAAAATATGAATTTTATCATGTAAAAAGAAAAATTAGGTGTATAAGATATTTGTAACTCCAAGTTTATGATAACACTTTATACACTGCAAGGATACTATAATAACTATAGTAACTAACCTTGTTTAATAATATAAAACATCCTCTTCTTATATATAGGATATATGTTTTAATTTGGACTTTGTTCTACATAAGAAAGGGAAAATTCTGCTCTAAATTTTAAAAATTATTTAAAGTATAAATTGCCATTCTGGTGGTCTTTTTATACTTCTTATTGAAAGTAAAATGAGCTTAAACTCAAAAGTAATAATCAAACATAAATTTATCACCCATACCTCCTGACAAAACATTCTTTCATATTCCAATGAGTTAGCTCATTCTTATAAGTCACATATGTTCAGGTGCTATAAATAAGACAGGCCTTTGTGAAAACTAAATTATAAAGAATAAAATTAACATTTTGAGAACTGAGTTTAAGTTTCTAAATGCATAGATACTTTTATCATAGTTGCATCAACATGGTACTCCCGTGTATTTGGGATATAAATCACATGTGTCTACCTGAATTAATAGTTTTAGGGAGCTACAACTCTTTGGTTGGATTTTGTGCCAGAACAGGAAAAGGTATATGAGATTATGAAAGATTTTAAATGTTATTTGAAAATATTGCTGCTATTAGACACAAACAATGCTGATACCTCAGATAGTGCTCAGTTTTACAAAGATCTGGGTTTAATGGCATGAAAATTTGAGGGAGGAAAAGAAAAAGGAAAATTAAGAAAAGATATATTTTGCTTTTTTTTAGTAAAATGGTCAGAGTGATAAGTGGAATAAATTAAAAGGATATTCTATTCACAATATGATAAAATCATTACAACACATTTTGCTAAAAATTTCAAAATTCTGATAAAAGAAATTACTAATCTTATTATAATCAAAACTGAACATATCACAGAAAAATTAATTTAAAAATGAAAAATGAAAAGAGGCACAAAAATAACTTCCAGAGTCCCAACATTCTTATATGGTATATCTAATGGCTGAACACATGAATATTAATATAAAGAATATTTTGATAATATTTATGACTATTAAAATGGGATTTTATTGACTTTAACTTCTTAACTCAAGAAAAGACAAGCATTCTCATTTCTATTACAAAGGATAGGATACCTTGAATTTTCTCAAAAGTCAGAAAAAGTTTGGAAACTAGTAATGCAAAATACTTTGGATTTCTTTAGGTGTTACAATAAAAGAAAAATTTTAGCATTTTCTGTTTCTTCTATATTATAAAAAGAACTATAGGGTACTCATAGCAGGCCTTGTCAGATGAACACTATAACACCAATCATAACTTACATATTATTCTAGAATTTATATATGCAGTGTAAAAATGAAAAGGCAGATTTTCAGCACGAATGGGTGACACAAGAGTTTTCTTGAGACCTAAAAACCTTTCTCAGTTTTAAAATCACTTTTCCCAGAAAAGTGGGGGACCAGTTCTTCTCCATTGTCCTTTTAAATTTTTGTTTAAATAGCCCAATTAAGGAATTGAACAGTAAGTAGGAACTACTGTAGTGAATTTATAAAGGTAGAAAAAGAGAGATTAGCAATTGGTCTCCATTAGTACTTTTCTAGCAATACAGTTTATATGACTTTTGTCCAGGAGACTGTTAGAGAAATCCTATTGGAAAGTAACGCTGCTTGACCAAATTAGATCTTTTACGTTAAGTCGTTAAAAACAAAGCATGTTTGAGTTGGAAGAAATCTCAGAGAAGTTTCTTAATCCACCCTTTTATTTTGTTATATGAGAAAGTTAAAGCTCAAAAAAGGTTAAATGACTTATTCAAGTGGCTAACGATTCTGAGCCAAGCCTAGAAAAGCAATTTACTGTAAATAGCTGTCCATTAAATAAGTTGCTATTGGATTAAATAAATAAAAAAAATATAGACTACTAAAATGTTTGTAGTTTTTAAATTAACAGAACCACATTAGTAGTCTAAAAGGAACATTATTTGAGTTGATGTTTCCCTTAAAGCCTGATGAGATATATTATGTTCCAAGTACAATATCCCATTAAAAACATCTTGATGTATGCTTACATAATGGAAAGAACCTTGTATCCGTGAAAATCCCAGAGAAGGTGGCACACAGATGATCCCAGTGAACAAAGAGTTAACTGTAAAGAAAGCCCCACCTCCTTGTAAATAGTGAGAAAGCCTTTAAAAAAAATTCAAAATGTCACCACTGGCTGACGCTCTTCTACGAGAAAAATGGTATTTTTTTTTTCCCCTATCTCGGATGCTGAACGCACATTTCATTGCCTTTATCTTTGAATTCAGTTTGGGTAGTTGATATATATTGATTCTTCCTTTACCTTCAAAACAGGCAGCATGGCACAGCTAAAATATATCAATGACTACAGTAGCAGCTTCACAAATTCAAGTTTTTGTCTTTAGTACTGGATGCACGCAATATATTAAAAATGCTCTAGAAATGAAGGGAGGTAGCAGGGAAAGTTAGTCAGCTCCTGGATAAAGCCAGCTATTGGTGAGTTATCCCCAACTCCCTCTGCTACGCAGAGAACTCCGAAGGAAGCGCACTTGCCACCCCAGGTTTTGCTCCTGGAGCAGAGACACTGAACCTTTTGTGCCATAATCTTTCCTATCAAAACGCCCAGACACGCGTAAGAAGTTTGTGCTGTGCCAGACCAGTAGTTCAGGGAAACCGCGAATCGGAGGGTCTTAGCCCTGCGACCCCAACATCATCTGTGGTCTGAAGAGGTGCGAGAGCGCTCCCTGCTCGCCAAAAACACAGCTCCCGGCAGGCTGGACACGCAAATCTTAGGCGCAAATCACCACGAAATGGGTTTGAAAGCGTAAGCTCTCCTCTTTGGCAGTCAAACGTGTGTGTCGTGTGTCGGGGAGTGGCGATCTGTCCTCTGGCGAAACGAAAACCTATTCCTGTTCAAGCCCAAGAAAAAGGAAACTGGGCGTGTGTGCGTGGTGAGGGGGTGGGGACTCTCCCTGTCGCGAAAGGGTTAAACTACAAACCAACCCTGAGAGGCGAATCTTTACATTTCACAAGCTGTGTCACCCTGGTCTGTCCAGCTGGACTCTCACCTAGGCTTAAGAATGTCTGACACTGCTGGTGAAAAGGTGAAATCCACACTGTGCCAGACCCCACAGGGTCTCCCATTCCCACTTCCCCAGTGTTTTCACCCTGCCCCACCTGTTTCAAATCTCATCCAACTCTGGTTCCATGGTCTCCACCCCGGAGCCCGAGGGTTTGTCAGAGACGCCTTCTTCACTCTCAGAACCAGCAGGTGAACTCATTACCTCACCCCACAAAAATAACTTTAATAAACAGATCTGGAAAGGGCACCTCCCCCCTAAACACACACGAACACACGCAGCAGCAGCAGCAGCAGCAGCAGCAGCAGCAGCAGCAGCAGCAGCAGCAGCAGCAGCAGCAGCAGCACAAGCAATAGCAGTTCTTAAACACTTGCGATCTCCCCCCACCCCCGCCCCCGGTTTTGGTCCCCAGCCTTACTTTGCCCTCTTTCTGGGGAAAGATTCAGAGGCTTTGTAACCTCTCTACAGTTGCTAACAACTGAGGGGGATGCGCAAGAATAAAAGACGGAAAACGAAGTTTTTAAAAAATTCCTTTGAAAAAAGAAAAGTAAAGGGGAAAAAACGAACAGAAACCAACAGAGCACAAAGTAGTTTAGCAACTCTCTACGAAGGGGTAGCAATCAAAACTCCAAAGGGGAAGAAAAATCCTCAAGACCAGCGAAGAAATGAACCTGCTGCTCAGTCAAGCGCGTGTGAGCGCGGACAAGCTCCTGTCCGCTGCCTGGCGGGCCTGACGATGCCGGGGTCGGGGAACGTCCCCGAGGGAGAGGAAAGGGATTCCCTGCGAGATATTCTAGTTGTTGAGGATTTTTGCTTGTTTTCTTTTCTTTCTTCTTTTTTTTTTTTTTTCTTCTTCTAATGCTCCATGTAAAACTGGGCTGAGACTCCATCACAGGTCCCGGAGATGTACAACCCCCTCAGAAGATCTCACAAAGCTGGCTGCTAATTCCAGTTCAGGCCACATTTTTTGCCAGCGGTCACCCCGGCACTGGCTACCCACCCAGACAATGGAACAACAGCGCAAGCCTTAGGATTTTTTTTTTTTTAATGGCCTGACTGAAGTCCTTTCCTTCTCCCCCACTCCTTCCGCCCCTTCACCTCACACCAAGGGGAAGTTCTAGGGGATTTATTACGGAACGGTGCTAGTACTCATTTCAGCCGAGAGCTAAACGAAAGGAAAACTGGCCGGGGGCGCAGGGCCGTGGACCCTAATTCCCAACGACCGAAGGGCTCGCGGGGAGGGAGGAGCCGCAGGGACCGGGACGGGGGCTCGGACAGACCTTGCGAGAGCTTCCGCGCCCCAGCCCGGCCTCACCCAAAGTTCCTGGAGATTTACCAGGTGCCCGCGCTCCTCGCTGCCCAAACTTGAGCCCAGCAGCGAAGCCGGAACGCGCGGCTCGGGTGGCTGAGCCCGCCAGGTCCGCGCCCA